GGATGTTTTGGAACAATTCCAAGTTGTCAAAGAATTTGACAAAGAATTTGACAAAGAATACCTTGACCAGTATGACAACAAAGATTGTAAATGAAGAACCTACAGGTTCCTTCTTACAAAACATTTTCTTCTGTCCATTATGAATTTCTTTCACCACCTGTATGAGTTGTTCAGGTGACAAAGAAACACAGAAAGTCAAAACTGCTACAAGAAAGAGAAAAAAAGTCCAAATATATAAAGTGGCCAAAATAAATTTCATATTCCCTTACTGAACTTGGAAAGCATGCATAAATGCAAAAAAACCCAATTTTTTCAAGAGATGGAATGCATTTTGCTATGTTTTGATTTGTTTTACAGTATGGAGACCTGTTACATTCATGATTTCTTCTGTGAGAGATTGCCAGACTGTCTATTTGCATCTGAATTCTTATTTTTTAATATAACATTTTTATGCTGCTAGCAAGTGCCTTTTCTAATAGCATTTCATTTGAGAGGGGTGCTTGAACTTACAGTAACTTCTTGCAGCATGAAACAATATAATACAGCCACATAATCTTTATATGCATGTTGAACAACTTAGGAATTGTTTTTAAAATTCACAATACTATTGAACTGAATTTTTTATTTGGCTTAATAACAGTAATAGATGTGTACACAACAGATGTGTGCTGCCCTGACAAAGCAAGGGGTGCTGCTCCAGAATTTTTTTAAATTTTTTCATCATTTGCAGAAAAATGAAATATTTCAGTGGAGCTCAGTCTATAATAATATTAGGTGTGTTTAACCTAAGGGTTACTCATACTTGAGGCTCAGCAAACTGAGAAATCACAGGATTACACACAGGGTATAGTGAAAACCAGGTAAAGAAGACAAAAATGAGATCTTCACAAAACTATAACAAGTTCTTTGAGCCTTTTTAGTCCCTAGGATTTAACAAGATCTATGGACAGCTCAGTCACTGAAGCCCTTGTTGGTGCCCCCCACAAATGAACAGTCACCTGAGAAATGTCTGTTTCTGCCACTTCATAAATGCAAATTTACTTCAAGCAGGGCACAAATAACCCCCTCATTCACCCTTGGCTACAATCAGAAGAAAATTCATGTGCTGAGCAACCAGCCATGCATTACTTTTTGTTGCAGGTCTGCTCTATCTGCACATATTTCTCTCCCTGTCCAAAAGTGGGAAAAGACAAGGTGATGAAACTTTTAATATAAATCTCAGGATTACAGTCAGGAAAAAAAATTGTTTTATTATTATTATTATTTTTATTACAAAAAATCCTCTAGAAAACCCTCTAAACTGTTATCATCCCATGGTCTCTAAAACACATTATTGTTGTTCATTTCTCAAAACTGCCACTGGAAAACCTGGGTTACCTTGCAATTTCTGGCTGATCTCCTGCTTTTCTCAAACAAACAAAAAACTGAGTGTGTGACCTAGAACAGAAAGGAATTCTTGCATCTCCAGCCCCCAGGCTAGGAGAGACTACGCTTCTCTTAACATGAGCATTCACCTCTCTTGGAAAAGCTTCTGTAATTTATATATATATTTATATTTATATATAAAGCAGTAGCAAAATCATACCAAAGGATAGTTCTGCAATAAAAACAAATATATAATAAAGTATTAAAAATAAGTAGGGTATTCTTTCATGTGGATCAAAAGGCAAAGACAAAAAATTTGACTCTTCAAAACCAGCTTCAGGAAAGACAACTCAGCATTGGCTTATCCATATCTAAAGGACAATATCCCAGGCCTAACAGCACCCTGTCTTTAGAGTTCACACTATCTTTTTTATCTTCTTATATCATGCCTTAACTTTTATTGACAAAGTGTTCATCCCCTAGAATTATATAATCTTTTATTACCTAGCAATGATTTCTTTGAAAAAAATATAAGTGATCCTGTGAGATGTAGAAGCAATCTATTCTGCTCTTCAAATAAAAGCCCAGCTATATGTACAAATTTGAGAAAGGAAAATATACAGGGTCCTTTAAAAAAAGAAAAAGTAGGAAATTAGTTGCATTAATCACTAATAGATACTGTATTTTAGTAAATATGAGTAATAAACATTGTTATATGGTCTCAAAAAATTATATGATTCCCAAATTATGTCTGTACAGGATGAAGCTCTACTAAATGCATGCAAAACTGCTAATCTAATGAGCAAAAAGTCTTAAATAATAAAATCAATCAGACATCTTATGTCTTCCCTAGAATGAATTTTATTCATTAAAAAGAAAACCTCATGAATATCATCACTCCCAAATCCTCCTTTGTACTTGTTATAATCTTAGAAAATAAGAGGTTTTTCTCTGGGAAATCAGAGTCTTTCTGCATGGCCTGTTTGTGTTCAATACCTCTTACCACCACTGTGTAACTGGCACCTTTAATCTGCTGTAGAAGTAACCTTATCATCCCACTGGCATTCCTAGGAACACAAGCAACATCACAGCATGAGTTTGTTAATCACTTCCAAGGCAAACAAAAGCCCATTTTGCTGTCTTTGTATTCTGGTGAAGTTTGTCAATGTCAAGTCAAGCCTCTAAGGCAACACATCTTCAATTAGAGATGTAAAATCCAGTTTTGCATGCAATTTAAATCCTGCAAACTAGCAATCCTCTCACGGAAATCACAATTATTTCCATTCTTATGCGTCAGTATTCCTGATCTACCATCATTTTTCTCTTACATGAAGTGATGCTTAATTTCCAAGACTGGGATTTCTGATTTGCCTTTTAGTTTCCACATTACAGTCAGGCTTACACTGATAGATCTTTAAGCTAGAGGAACAAATTATATTCTTCTCTGCCACACTCTTAACACACCTCACAGATTCCCATTCCACCCTCACCAAGAAAAGTTAGACTTTTCCCACCCTCTCCACTAAAACAATATAGAACAGGTTTATGACCAATTTAGTTTTGAAGAATTTTTTATGCTGAACACCGAGAAAAATGTGACCATGGCTGGAGATGTATCTCTAAAACCACCAGAATTCCATAAGGGACAATGAATTTTGATTTAAATGGGTATGGTTGTGCGCATGTGAGGCCAGATCTTTGCTTGGTTAAATCAATGTGTTCTCTTTGCTTTCAGGGAAATTGTGATTTAGATCCCAAACCAGCACAGCACTGCAATGCCACTGAGGTCTGTAAGTGAAGTTCAACAGCAGCATTACATTGTTAATATATTGCTAAAAACAATGCTGGTTTTAGATCACACGTGCTGTGATCTAGAATATGAAACTTTTCTTTTACTTTTCTGAAACAGAGCTCGGAAACACACCCAGCCTAAAATGAATGAGGAAATGTCACAATTCAGAAAAACCTGACACCTGTTCACATTCTTTAAAGCAGAAATGTTCTGTGTTGCAAAAATGCTAGAATTCTCTTGTGTTCTGATGAGTACTCATTCAAAATTAGTGTTCTATTCATTAAAGCTTCCCTTGGCTTTTTTTCCCCTTTTTTTGTGGCAGAAAATCAGACCTTCTTTTCCATTTTAAAAAATATATCCAAAATAGTCCAAAAAAGGTAGAATTTTTAAATTTACTGCCTCTTTGTTTTCAATTATTAGACTGTTTAATTTTCCTTTCTCACTTTTTACCCCATTGAATTTATTTGAACTTTATTCATTTGATTCACCCACTTTTTAAAGGCCTCTTTTTATTAAAAATCCTTTTCATTTCTCTCTCTTCTTTTCCTGCAGAATTCTGTCATTCTCGAATCTCCAGAAGACTTGAAAGAGTGTCAGATTTGCTGGAGGACATTGAGGGTGGTCTGGGATTTACTTCAGAAAAAGCAGAGATCTTCTTGGGAGATAATTCTGAAAGGAAAACTTTTGGAACATGATATACCTCCTTGTGCAGGGGGTAAAAAAATAAAGAAGCAAAGATGAGCTTGGGAGATGTAGTAGGACAGGTATTTCAGTAATATTTTTCTTTTTTTTCTGATTACTCTATATAAATTAGTAAAAAAAATGAAATTTTAGTAATGCATCTGTTAAGGAGGGATATTTAAATGAAAAAGCTTCTATACATGCTTCTATACGCAGAAAACCTGGCTGGAGCCAGGAGGCTCCACCTGCCTCAAAACACCTGGGATCAGGGATGAAAAAACAGTGGGATCAGGACCATTGAATCTGCAAAACAACTTGAAGCCAACAGATCTGTCAAAGGCATAGCAACCAAAGAAAAACAACAAAAAAAAAACCTCTTCACAATTAGCCCACAGCCACTTAGCTCTGTGGTCATCAAAACACTTGAGAGAAAACTTGTTGCCAATATAGTCAAGGGCTCTCTTAATTTCATGCACTGTGACTTCAACCATTTATTCATGTCTCATTTTATTTCTCTAAAATTGGCCTCATTTAAAAGAAGGGAAACCACATTTCATGCTCTTCAGTTTCATTAAAGAGATACAAATCCCTTACCAAAAGAGGACTTCTCTAAATTAAACCATTGTAGCAGAAGAAAATATTGATATTTTGAATCTGAAAGGACTCTGACACAATCTATATTCTCCTGCATATCATTTTTATGGTATTTTTTTTAAAGGAAGAAAAAAGCTCCTCCCTTAAAAAACAATGTTTTCAAACACATGATGGAATATGTAACACTCAGCTAAGAGTAACACAAATGAATTCTCTCACAGATTTTCTAAAGTTTGTCAAGAAAGAAGGTTACTGATCTCTTCCTCAACAGTGTGGGAGTACAGTATTTCACCCTCTGAAAATAACTTGTATCTGCTTGACAAGGAAGGTGTGGTTAACTCCCTTGATTGATACTCATTCCATAGGAAATGTGACATAAACTCTATATGAATTACATAAGATAAATCCGGCATCATTCAATACGTGACTCAAAGTGAACTCAATTTTATGAGTAATTAACCAACAGGTCCAAATTTCAGTAGTTTTATATGTTTTCTTGGCTACAGGACATTCTACAGTTTTTTTCCACAAGGGTTAAAACCATTTATTTGGCTGACTTGAATGAAAGATGAAGTTCAGGTTTTATTCAAATCTTACTTCATAGCAGATGAGGGTCTTCAGTTCCCCTTTACATTCACATTCATTACAGAAAAGAACAGTCTGCAGGTGATTGCATTATGTGAAAATGACAAAATATTTTCATAAAATTCCCCACTGAAATTTCTTCCCTTTTTCAGGTTTGTCTGCAAAACAACAATAGGGGAAAAAAGAAGTCTGTCCTTTCTGTTTTTTAGGTGTATCTAAGGAAAATAAACTATTCTAAACTTACCAAAAGCCTTTTCCATAACCACATTTTCCATAAACACCTTCAGTCCTTGATGTTCTCCACCTCCATCCTCAAAGCTGAACTGCTTCAGTCTCCTGTAGGTACAGCTTCCTGAAGAATCACCCTTCAGGATCCTTCTAAATGGCAAAAACAAAGAATCTAAGTCCTCTGTGCTTTCTCAAATTCCCTTTGACCTTACCACAGTAGCCCAAAATCCACCAAAATGCACAAACAATAATTTCCAATAATCCATCGGTATCCTTTTCCAATAATTCTGTTTATAAGAGGCAAGACACACCAGGGAGCATATTCCAAGGAACAAAAATGCTGTTTCTTTCACAGCCTGAATAGAAATGGAAGAAATATTTTCCAACTGGAAGGGCAAATTAATTAGTGAGCCATGTCAAACTCAAACCCCCCCCCCTCTACCAAATTAAGGGAAATGAAATATTAATTTTGTTATTTTAAACTCATTTCCTTACAGTCCACTGTAAATACTGAAATATAAGAAACATCCCATGAACACACATTCATAGCTTAGGGCTACTTCCCTGTTTCCAGGGATCAAGGAGACAAGGAGTACAAATCCATTACTTACTGACTTGTTGCAGACTTCTTTTTTTTTAATCATAAATAATTTTTCTACATTTACGTGACTCTTTGGATTCCAGAATAAAATGCACATTTTCAGAAAGATTCTGATCTGAGTGGGTCAGGAAAAGGACATGAAGAATCACAAATGGTCATGGCCATAAACCACCCTGGGTTTTATGCATCTGTTAAGGTAGATTGCCTGAAGTGAATCATGGCCTCAGCTCATAAAGATTTCATGCTTTAATCCCTGCCATACATCAATAGCAATAATTTAAAAGTTTGTAGTTTATCTATTTCTCTATGTAAAACAGTGGATTTCCCCCTCAATGTGCTGGGTGGGAGAGTGAGTTCCCTAAAACATTGCACACTGGGAAGCTGTGGCCTAGCATACCTTGCCAATTTTGCCTGAAGCTGTTTCTGTCTACAATAGAGAAAAGGAACTATCATTTATTTCAATGGATGCTGGCTCAGATGGAAAGACATTTTAGACAAAGCTTTAGGGACTAGTTTTGATACCCAGGGTTTGGGGGGGGGGGGTTGGGGTTTTTTTTGTGGGGGTTTTGTTGTTGTTGTTGTTAGTTTGTTTTTATTATTGCTCGTCTCTGTGTTTCCTGGTTTTGCTGAAGTAAAGAGCAGCTGTTCTCACAAGCTTACCAATTCAAAGCTGCAAATACAAAAGTTGCATCCAAATTCCCTTTTCCTTTAAGAGTGCAGGATAGATGATGCCTTGTTCAATGGAGAACAGAACTAAGTTCATAAAAGGGAGGAAGGGGAGCCAGCCTCACAATTCCACCAACTGTGGGAAAAAGTACTTCCCTGTAAGTATATCTGGAATTTCTTGCTCCCCACAATAGAACAGATACTGCATTAACATGGTTCACACATGGAAAGCTGCTCCCCAAAATTGTTCTAGGGTCATTGCAGTGACAACCCTGTTAGAGTGACAACCCTGAGACCATCTCAGCAAAGCTTTTTTCCAGGACAATAAGACAAAAGTGATTTCTCCACAATGTGTGCCCCCTACGCTGTGTTCTGTTGCATTTGCAGATCAGTTGCAGACACAGCACAACTGACCTGAATGTGCTCAGAGAACATGCCCTGCTTTCCTGGGCGCTCAGCAGTCCAAAAATATCATGTTGTCTGCCCCAAATAAACCTCCTGCAAGATAAGCAGATATGACAAGAGAAACATGAACTCAGAGTAAGAGGTACCACAGAAGCATTTAGATTACATGTGCTGTGAAACCTGCCCAGAAATTTGTCCAGGTGTCTGCTATGTGCAGACACATTGCCAAAACAGCCCTGCAGTTCCACAGATACAGCTCCCACCTGCCAGCTTTCCAGCAGCAGGTCTGTCCAGGGAAAACACTGCACCCAGGCAGCAGGATGCATGTTTGCCAGGAAACTGTCTGGCTTTGAGCTGGGCTGTGCAAGGCAAACCAAAGTGCAGAACTCTGCTCTCCAGTTAGCTCAGGCATCAACAAAACAGCAGCCACTGCCATGACAAAGCTTTATGTATGTCCTTCAAGTGGGGTAGAGTTTGTAGCTGTAGGAAGAAGAGAGATCCCCATTTGATCCTCCCTTGGTAAACTCAGGGAGGGAAATTAAGCAAATTTCTGCAGCTGGAGAGCAGAGCTGCTGAGCTTTGGAAGCAAAAGGATTCAGCTTGGTGGGGAGGGCAGGCAGACAGTGCACTACACTTCACTGCTGAGGAGAGGTTTGCCTCTCTGACACACCAGAAAACAAGAGAGCATGACTTCTAGGTGCAGCACTTTGTATGACTTCTTCTGCTGTCTCAGACACTGAAATGAGCACTGCTGTAAGTCACTAACCTGCATGCAAGTCAAGTGCAACACACAGTGTATTTTCCCACACAAGTTAAAGGCCCATTCAGAATCCCAAATAATCATTTACCCTCAAAAGAATTTGCTCATTATGTGCTTTGCCTGGCCCTTATGGTCTTGCAAAGCCCTCTGAATAGTCAGGCCTGAAATAATCTCCTGCTGCCTGTAACGCTGGCCTTTCTTTCTTTTCATGTAACTGCAAACAGAAACTCCTTATTCACAAAGGAAGAGGTTATTAAACTCAGCAGAGTTATTCTAAAAAAGATAGAAATGAACTTTGACTGCAATCTTAAGTGTGAGTCTTGCCTGGAAAGCTGTTTGCCACACAAAAGGCAAGCAGGGAGCACAGATTCAAGGCTGGCCATTTTCATGTGTAGTCACCATTAAGCTGACAAGAGAGCAATCTGCTACCTCACTTTGTTATGAATGGTGCTTTAAATTTGTTACTTTTATGGAGGGATCCTTTAAGCTGCATGTTCTCTTGACACAAACCTCCCTGTTTTAAACAAGGCATACATCTCAAAATGATTTAGATGTTTGTGGTTGACACTACTCAGTTGCATCACTTACGCCAGAGTGACTCGGGTGAGCAACACGAAGACAGATAAATCTAAGCAGCTGGAGCCCTGTCTGATGAAATCTTTAAATCCACAGTGGTTCACCTGTTAAACAACATCACAGTCATGACATGAAAACTAAGCTGGTGGTTAGCCAATGAAAGTGCACCACAGACCTCCAAAGGCCAAGTTGTAACTCACCTGCTTGTTTAAAACAGGATGATGAATGACAGTGGAAAAGGCACTCAGTCTCCCTTCCCTTAATGCCCTTCTTTGTTTCATAGCTGGACTGGCCAGCTACAGTATTTCTTTTACACACAAAGCTCACTAACTCCACTCCAAACCTGAAGTATTGAAGCTGTTCTCTCTGCTAACCTTTGCCTGCTGCACAAATTGCCACAACAACCTCGCAGCTACTGCGATGGAGGTGCAATGCCTTGGAAAAAAACCATGGTCTGGAGCTGGTGAGAATGATTATTAGCACCAGCCACACTTGATAATAATAAAAGAGATAATCTGTACTTAACTATCTTGTTGGTAACCATCAAGAAATCAAATGAGCTAATTACTTTTTCCTTTCTTTCCCCGCTGATCTGCAATCCCTGGATGAATGCTGTGTAAACCAGAAAAATTTTTGTGGCCATCCTTTAGTAATTGACCTTTAGCTCTCCCCATTTCATTTGCCCTAAGTGTTAATTGACTTTGAAAAAGCAGTATATTATCCTTTTAGAAAAGAAAGTCTGATTTGTGCCCGCCAACATCTCACAGCATCAAAGCCCTGTTAAATCATAGAGCAATACAGCTGAAAATGAGTCTCCAGAAGAAAGGGAAAGAGAGTGGGGGAAGGAAGCACAATTGTTATTGACAGAGCTCCACTGCCATCTAGAGAGAATCTGCACCAGCCAATTTTCTGAAGGAGAGGTTGTAAGTCAAAATATTTCCATTCTGATGTTGGGGGAGGTAGGAGCTCCACTCAGATTCACTGTATCTATTAATTTTTTTAACCAATTTTTAGTAATCAGCACAAAAAGCAGATCATATCCTAGAATATGATCTACCATGAATTCTATGGAAATCATGGGAGCAAGCTTTAAAGGCTCACTTATAAGCTCCCCTGAAATGATGTACAGTATCTGCACAGTTTTGTTTCAAAGAAGCTTCTTTGAACAAGTGACTATCTTTGTAGAAAGGTGTTTCATTCCTAAACAATTTACATTTTAAAGGACATGTTATGTCCTTGGCAGCTGCCTTTATATGTTGCCTGTCACTATGAGAGAAAGAAACAATGTGCTATACAGGGTAAGATTTTTGGGTTTTTTACTCCTTCAAGTATATAAAATTTTATTTTCTTCACGTTTTATATCGTGAAGGCACCCACAGAACACGTTACTAGTAAGAGTCCACCTTTAATCTGACTGATTTAATTTTCTCTGACCAAAAAGCCACAGAACTCCATTCAGTGTATGAGACAGGTCAGCTGCTATAAAAACTGGAGGAGTGTCCCCCACTGGGAGCAGCTAAGTCAATACAATCCCAAAGCAGCTGACACGACCTGGCTGAGTGCATCTGGAACAAAAGGAATTATTTTAAGGTACAGCCAGCAACTAATTCAACTGTGTCACTAATGAACCTCAAAATGGAGGGTTCATTACTGCTGTGTCACAAAAACACTCAGGAGTGACTTGTGGTGCCCTTGGTCTCCATCACTTATGGATTTAGCTTCTGATTAAAGAGCAGTGTGGAGCTTTTAACAGCCATCATCTGTCTACTGACTGAAAATTTCAAAACCAAGACCTGTTTGAGGACTGCTAGTTAAAAAGGCAGCCAGGATATTTTTTATAGTGCAGCATAGTTTGTGATTGCTTCCTTTGTGAAATCCTATTGGACTGAAATAGCTTAAGATATACAAAGTAGTAAGTTTGTGCTTATTTCCTTTAGCTAGCTGGTTAGGTGCTTTGTGGTTGCCCATTTTGGCAGTAGTAATGACTTAATTGTCACTACCATTAGTGACTATTAAATTATAACGGTAGAAAATGGCACAGAAACTTATAATGGTAGCTAAACTTTGGTTAAATATCTGTTAAACATGATACATTATGCAATTATGAGATTATCCGAATTATTTTTAATCTTATTTCCTGACTAAATACAGCACCTCAAAACAGGTTTATCAGGGAAATTAGATTCATTTTCACTGAAATACACTGAATACAGTTAGGTTTGCTAAGCCAAGAAGTGCTTCCAGTGAGGGGACTGTCAGTCTTTCTTGCCCCTATCAATGCTGACACTGATGATTCCTGGATGGAAGAGCACAGCAGTTGTGAATGATGGGTTTATGAAGAGAGAGAATCCAACACTTCAATCAAGTGTTAGGAAACAGAGCACAGAATACTGAATCAGATGCCTGACTGGATGGATCTCCCAGTCCAAATGTGATGCAAAATGCAGGAGGTGTTTCTGCCAGTGAGCACAGCCAAGAGGCTTGTCCTGAGAAAAAACCCAAATGCACCTTTAAAAAACAATTTTTCTTTTTTGCTAACAAATACAATTAAGCTGTGCAGTTGAGGGGGAGAACAACAGCCACAAGAATAGGAACTGTGAAAGTGCACATGCTTACACAAGGCTAGACTGAGCTTTTTGCTGTTTCCCTGTTTCTTATCTTGTCCAGAGACCTTGAAGACAGTCCTGAAATAATGACAAAGAATAACAGCTCACCCTATAGTAATAATACATTCAAACTGGATCAGATAAATGTCAAAAATAAGAGAGTTTTAGACAGAGAACTGCTTCTGGTGAAGCATAAGTACAGGGTTTCTTTGCTTTCTTCTTTTATTAGAGGCAAATAAATTCAGCCCATAATGCTTGCAACATGAAAACCAGCACCTCATCTGGTGTATTTTACACTAGAAGTTGTTTTAGGCATTATTTCCAATAGACAGGCTTGTTGCTATCAGAAAAAAGTACATCAGCTTGTTATAGATGGGAAGAGAACATCCATATTGTGAAAATTAAAAGATAGCATCTCTTCTGTGTCTAGAATTTATTGTGGAGTTCAAAGGGCATTGTTGAAATTCTGTTTGATTTGTACTTGCAACTGGATATAATAGGATAGGCTTCATGAAGATATGGATCTCTCAGCCTTTTCTGAAGGCTGTCTTAAAATATTGTATTTCAAGGGACATAAATAAAACTGCTTTACAGTGTGACTGTAATCAGCTTATGTCACATCTTGATGCTTCCTTCCCCTGGCTTCCAGACTTTCCCTTCTCTTTTACTGAAACTCTCTATTTCTAAGGATAGACTCTGCCACACTATTTTTTTTTCCTTTTTTTGTAAAATGACTGGTACAATAAGACCAAGCACCCTCCTTAAAGGAAACTGTCATGTCAGCATCCAGTCCTTGCTCAAAATGAAATTCCTAGAACATATTCATTCATGCCAGATATTTTCATTCATTTCAGCAAAAAGAAAAGCATACATAAATCTTTCTCCTTCTTTCACAAGCTCTTTTCTCATAGATTCATTCACTGAGAATTCTTATTTGAGCTGGAGCCTGAATTAAGTAGGCTTCATATTAAATGCCAGGTAAAACATTATTACATTGCTGCAATGTAACATTTTATGATTTGTAAGACATGTATTTCTGTACTGAATTTAAATATTTTGAAAAATAGGCTGGGTCTGCTCTGTAGAAAGCAAAAGCAGCAGTTTGATGTCGTTTGCCTGATTTCTTCAGTGATCAATGCAAGGACTAACCACAAGTCTATCACTCAGCTGAAGTTAAAAGTTGCCATTCTCGCATGAATGTCAGGAACCTGCCTTCTTGGTACAGAGTATCTTGAGCTAGATCTTGACAGAATATCATCATGTAACTATGAAAATTGATATTAAAATCAAGGCATCATACTCAAAAATAGCCAATATCATCATGCCCTATCATATATATATATTTGTACGTGTATATATATAGGCTATACAGAAGAGCCTCGTAATATAGAGACAGGAATAAACAAACAGGGAATAGGTATGCTCTCCTGTTCTTTACAGGCAAACTCTAGGGATAACCCTTCTAAATTTCTCTGCTTTTTAAAGGGCTGCCACAACCTTTTATTCAGCCTTTTGGAGACCTGACTCTAGGCAGCATCCAGCTTCTCATGATTGCTGCAAATTACTGCCCTGTACTCACTTTAATGTGTGAGACATAAGAGATGAGGTGCTTGGGAGCATAAAAACCAGCGAGCACAAGAGAGCCAGAATGTGCTTATTGACTAGAGGCAGGCCCAAGTGGAAGAAGCTGACTTGTGGAGTACTTGAATATTGGTATTGATTTTGTTTCCTTTATCAACACGAGGTGGGGGGAAACGCAGCAAAGCGATGAAATGTGCTGATGGCACGGAACGGGTGAGTCAACAAACGCACAATGGGGAAGCAATGAAATTCTCATGGATTTGGCTGAGCTAAAATCACGGGCAGATAAGTGGCTTACAAAATTCAATTTGAAAAAAGGTAAGATACTGAATCTGTGGATGAAATAACAGGAGAAGGGAACTCTATTTTCAATGGACAGGGAAGTGACTGATGAAAAGCTGGGCTTTTTAGCATTTCAATGGACACAACTGTGTGTAGTAAATTCAGGTTTCTCTAAAAAAGCTGCCTTCCTGCTAGCACTTCTTTTTTCAGCAGTTGCTGCTGCGTGGTAGGACAGTATCCAGGAGAGAAAACTGAAAAGAATATGTGAATTTCTTCAACTTTTATCTAATTGGGTCTTTTTCATATTAAAAAGTAGGGAAGAAAAAATATTTAACATAAAATTAAAGGAGATTATGCTAATACCACACTGGATTAGGTACTATAAAAGTGACATTCAGAATACATGTATCACTGTGATTACAAAAATGAGAGTTGGGAAAGTAGGATGCAAAGCAGACAACAAGGAGATGTATATTGGTTAATACTAAATACTTACTTAGGCAGTCTGAGGAACAGGGGGTACGTTTGGAACACAGTGGAGAAGATTAACCACATCACTCTTACTGGCTTTACAAGAAGAACAAATCCCAAGATATTGTTGTGAATCCTGTAAACATACTGTAAAGAAGGAAAGGGAAAAATAAAATCCAAACCCTGACATCTGAGACAGGATTTACTAAGGAATGCAAAATCCCAGAGCTGTCAGGATTATATCAGCAACTTTTGTACTACTGAGAGCTTCCAAGCACTGGTAACAGCTCTTTGACCCCAAACTCTCTGTGCCATGCCAGTAATAGTGAGAATCTGTTATTTCTGAGTATTTTACTCATTAGTACTACAGTAATAACTTTCACAAGACTGATTTCTGATTAGCTTTCCATTGCAGCCTATCTGCCTCCCCAGTTTTCCCCTCCCTCATCCAATTCAGTAAGGTTAAAAAGGAAAAATACCTTCCAGAAGTCACTAAGAAAAAGAGAACCAACATTTCTCTGGCTTGTGAAACCAACAGCAGCAGTCAGAGTACCCACAGAACACATCACACAGACAAGAACACATCCTGGAATCTCAACAGTGCAACTAAACTGACTTTTAACAGAATTTAAAAATATTATTAACAAATAAAAGGCTCCAGTAAAGTACCAAAACCAGAAATATTTGGAGAAGAAAGAGCCAATAAAGGCTTTGCTCTGCTCTTCAGTTATTTTGGGGAAAAGCAGAGCCTTTTTTCTCCAATGATTTCTAGGGCTCATGCACACACTTTCCATGCAAAGGCAGGTTCTGTTTTTACTTCAAACAATGTAAAGCTTGTTGGGACCAAAAAACTCTATGAGAACTATCCATTTAATGGCTAAATATTAGAAGTAATGGTTTGTTGTGGTTTTTGAGGTTTGTTTTTACAGTCAAACTGATCCCAAAGTCTACAATGCATTTGTAATGTCTTCAGCATCACCTGACAGAAAGTGCCAGTGAAACTTGGCCCAAAAGTTTGCTCATTTCTTCCACACAGCCAGAAGATCTGGGCAGCACAAACACACACATGGAGTATGGCAAATTTCTTTAAAATTTTGTGGATAATAAGACTACTGCTAGAGGCTGAATACTAATTGCCTGAAATCAAAGTAAAATAAAAAGCAACCCTCACACTGCTGTTAATTTGACAGCTGGCCATTTCCTCAAACCTGAGAGAGAATCCTTAGGCCGAGACAGCTTTTAGAAACATAAAAATGCACGTTCCTGTAGGAAGCAACACAGCAGCAGGGCTTTGAGGATGGAACCTGGTCTTTTTTTAATAGACTGGCAGCTTTAGGAGAGAAATCCAGCCCATCTGCAAATGTGGCTGCAGCTAATGAGTGCATGTGCAGCTCAGAAGGGTCACAGATCTCCACACAGAACTCTGATCTAAAGCTAACCCTCGATTTAGAATCTAATGGGGAGGAGGAGTAATAATGTATAAATAATTCATAAAAACCTTAATTGGTATTTCTTTTGTGTGGCAAGAGCCCATTAGCATTATGGGTGGTCACCTGGTTTTTAATCACAAAAATGGTGATTATGGTTGTGCATTATGTCAACTGCCCAGGCCTGATATGCCACAACAATCCAGTGACTGATTCTGCAACAGCACTTGCAGATTTGTACAAATAGTACAAATATTTCCACCAGTTACACCAGTAAATGCATCTCAAAGCAAGAATATGTTGCACAATACCTTAATTCTGAGATAAAATATGCCCATTTTTGCCCTCTGAAGCCCATTTGGTTTCCAAACCCCTAATTACAGGGTTAGATATGATATAATTATATGTATCTTATAATATTATATAATTCAGTTGATCTTACTGCTTTTTCATATTAAGATGCTTTCACAGCAACAGTAAAGGAATGGTATGGCAGAGTACATCTATGCACGTTCTCATCCAGCCCAACTTTAAATAGAGAATTACTGGGGTTATGAAGCGAGAGAGGCCTCAGAGAAAAGGAAAACCATTCTTATTTCATTTGCTTCTCCTCTGTTGTGCTCTGTGGAATGTGTTTGGAGATTGCTTACCCACAGGTGATTGTTTCATTCTGTGGGTATATTGTAACCTATCAGTGTCTGCTTTAAGCCCATATTTAGCTTTTTCTTAATCTTTCAGAAAACACAGAAGTGGTAGTTGAATGCCAACTAAAGTTACAATGTTAAAGCAGCTGAGAGAGAGAGGTAAAGCCAAAAAAGCAGGCAAACCTGGACCTTGATTAGGTAAGTCTATTCACTGCTCTCTGGTGTTGACCATCTGGTTTCAGAAGCAGAATTTCCACGTAAATAAAATTTCACTCAGAGTGTTCAATACACATCACCAACTTTGCCTCCAGTCTAAAGTCACATCTAGACAGAATGAGAAACGGCATTAGAAAAATATTTAAGATATCAATATATTCTTCCTCCAAATACAATCATTCGTGTTAATACAGCAACTCTGTGCATCCACAGTGATTGAAGTACGCTGAAGGGTGTGGCGTTCACATTCCCTGAACATGATTCTTTCACCCAGGGTTTTTCTCCTGGGAAGCTGAAAGGCCTCAGAGAAAAAGAAAACAATGTTATCTCATTTGCTTCTCCTGTGTTTTGCTCACCTGGAATGTGTTTGGGGATTGTTTACCCACAGGAGATTGTTTCATTGGATTCTGGTGTGAGTTGTTTTCACTCATTGGCCAATCAGGGCCAAGCTGTGCTGGGACTCTGGAGAGAGTCTCGAGTTCTCATCATTATCTTTTTAGAATTCTGTAAGTATCATTCCTGTATTCTTTAGTGTAGCATGGTATAGCATTCTTTAATATCATATAGTACAATAAAGTAATAAATTACCCTTCTGATAAGATGGAGTCAGAGTCGTCCTTCCTGCCTTCATCAGGGCACCTTGTTTACAACAGAAGTGTCCTACAGATGAATTTACAAACAATGTCCCAGCCCTACTCAAAGACCCCATAAATCTACAACTAAGATACAGACAACTAAATCCATGAGTATCTCCAGCTCACTTGCCTGAAGTTGTGTGTGTGTCTAACAGCTTATAAGAGCTGTGCCTGAACAACAAATTACATTCCTTATGCTCCTGTGGTTGAGCATGGAACTATTTCATCCCCAGCCATCCACACAACGCAGCCACTCAGGCAGGAGAGTGCCTGACCTCGTGGTGCTACAGGGAGGATTGCAGCCAGGGTGATTAAAATTACTCAGACAGAATGAGTTTTAAAACATGAAGCTTATAAATTACCCAGTCTTTGCCAGTGCCAGGGGGACAGGCTGCACAGCAACTTTCATATACCTGCTCTCAGCTCCACACAGAAGGTAAAAGTTGCAATCGTGGCATCAGGAAGAGGAGAAGGCAGAGGGGTGGACTTCCTGCCAGAAGGAAGCAAAACTGTGGGAATTATCAAGCTAAAAAGCATTTCTTTTAGCTACAGTATTCACTGTATGCAAATTAAAAGGATAATTTTGTCAGCTGACTGCTGGTAGAAGCAAAGTACCCGACTGCCATCTACTGGCACCAGCACAGTGAGGAAACTGCAATTAAATAAATTAATTTTTTGGTGGTTCCTGCAGCAGTTGGCTCTTGGTGGTACCATGCCAAAAAACCCACACTGGGCTGCATCACCAAGGCAAGTTCTGCCTACAGCAATATTAATTCAAAGGCATACAGAAGTACAAAACTCTGACCCTTCCTGACATGTGCTGCAAACATAGCAGGGACAAGCTTAAGTTCTGACAGAAAAAACCAAAAGCAGCAGCAAACTGCAGTCACCAAATGTCTGCTGGCATCTGCAAAATTGGGGCAGGTTCTACCCAGCTAGCACACAAATCCAGCAGAACAAAATTGTATTAATCAGCCTGAAGAGTATTTTTCTCTCAGGAAAAGCAGCACCTTTTAATATACACTCATGCTGTGTATTCTTATGGCATGCATCTCTAGAAAAGTTGATGAACCCTTCAACTCATTGTTTTCTTCTGAAATTATTAATAAATTCTAAGGCATGTTGGCTTCATAAATACTATAAATTCACTGGCTATTTAGGCCCAAATAAATTTCATGCCAAGAAAATCAAGTGCATACATTTTCTTCTGTTAATATTCTTCTGGTATTCCCTAGATCTTCCTTAACTATAAAATCATTTATGGCTAAAATTGGGCTGACCAATTGTTCTATTAATTCCTCATCCTCATTACATACTAAAACATCCATTCAGCATTTTTTTCCTCTACCAATGAAACAGAAAGTCATCTGCTCAATGAAATTTACTGCTTTTTTTTTTCCCTGTGTATACAAGAAATTGTTGCGCATTTTGTATTAGTTCTTTATTATCTGGTAATGATGGCTTGCTAATTAAATTGGGGTTTAATGGCATAGTTAAATTCTAATTTATGTTTTTGGAGCTTTATTTAATTCCTTTAGTTAAAATGTAATCACTTTCTCACTATTATCTGATATTACATAGGAATAAAAAAAAAGAATATCAACTCCTCATATTCAGCTGATTTTCTTCTATTAAATCTTGTTACTTTTTTAACTGAAAGACTTTTTTAAACACTCTAAGCTGATTTGAGGGCAGGGGGAAAAGCTGTGTCATTTCCGTGGATTCAGCTCCTTGCAGGACTCACCTTTCTGCAGCTCCCTGGGATCTCACCGCACACACAGATTTATTTATTTTTTTGCAACAATTAGGCAAGAAAACAGACAAGTAAAAAAAACAGAATAGCTCTTCACACCCTTCCCTTCTTGGGCTGAGAAAAACTGCCCCTAAGCAAACCTGTTTCTAGAAACTTTGCTGAGGAGACACTTTGGGGGCTGAAATGAGACTTGAGGAGTGATTGCACCCCCAGCTCTGCCTCAGAGTGATGCTCCTCCCTGTATTCTCACCCGAGCACGTTCTGCTCTTAAATCTTGGCTTTTGGTGACAGCTTTTTACAGGCAATCCAGCAGGAGGTGAAAAGGAAAGGGTTTATCCCATGCATTGTGTAAGATACAGTGCAACCATAAGGAGAAAACTGAGTTGTACAGAAGATTTCATCCAGTAATCCATACAGCATATCTTGAGAAAGAGGTTTAAGTGGGTTAGCCAGAAAAACACTGAGGCAAAAACAAAAAAAAAAAAAAAAACCTTTGAAAGCTATACACTAAATAACTGGTAAAAAATAGTTCCTATATTTTCAATATTTGAATTTTGAGTCAGTAAAGCTGTCTGTAGCCTGGTCACACCAACTTTTACTTTTTTGCTTTTTACTTTTTTTTTTTGCAAACCAATCATTAAATACATGTAAGTCAAATGAAAAGGCACAGATATTTAAACTACCACTACCACAAAGTGAGAACTATTGCATATAAATAATCCTGATCCGCTACAAAGAACCAAAACTTTTTTGATTTACAAATTTTGATGTTGTTTCATTTCAGCTTCAAGATCTTCATTTTTAGAAGCAATCCTCAAACTGGATTAACCCTTTTCAATCTGCTGCTCCTCAGAAGTCAATAAAAGCTCTTTCTGTGTGCATGAGATATGAGAAAAGGCCCTGAAATTCAATACAGGCCTCTATCCACTCTAAGAACAGGTGTAACATTGGCACTGTTTTCTCATTTTACAAGGGCAGCTTCTGTGGCTTCAGACTCATAAGTGTAAATTCAGTTTTGTACAACCCAAAAATAAACAGCGAAATTATAATTTTTGTTGCAGACATGCAGCGCAGAAGACTTAAGGTTCTTATCCTACTCTTGAGTTATTATTAAAGCTGTTAACATGGGAAGAATTTGCATTTTTTAGAACTGCATGTCATTCATCTCTAAAATTATCCAAATCCCCATCTCAGTGACTGCCTTTTACAATGCTATCAATAGATGAAAGCTTATCAATGATCCTTTGGTGGCATTATTTTAAAAGTTAAAATTCTCCCAGGAGCAAGAAAATTGGATCTAATTCTTTGAATATCTTTTCAATATTAGAGTAAAATACCTTTTCCTAATATATTTTTATGCATTTTTTAATTTTAAAACTAATTCAATTGAATATTTTTAGTGTTATATTTTTAATATATACCATATGCACTTTTAAGATGTAGGAGACAACATTAATTTCTTTGGTTTTGACATTTTTAACTTTCATTTAATAGGCATTGTTATTTTCCAGTTGCACACTATGCAGAGAGCATGCAACACTACAAACTCTTCATTTACCTTTGTGAGAGATGCCAAAATGACTTGGGATTAAATAAACTGAAATTTCTTCTAGCGCATGGAGGAAAGTTAAGCCTAGAACCGCAACTGAAGTCCATAAATGAAAGTTTTAGAGAAGAAAAGGGGAAAATATTTTCAGTACTTTAAATGGGTGGACTTATGTTAAATTTTCTAATAAGAATTTCTTCCTTCCAAAATTCTCATGGTCCAGTTATGTAACTGGGAGCAACACAGTGTTGAGGTCTTGTGCTGCTGCATCCAAACAGAAATGTTATTATTTTAATCTTAGTCACATCTACTCTGTACCTGAAGTGGTTTTCATATTCTGGACTTCAACCTATGCCCTTTAAATATTAATAGTTTGCTCAAAAAAAGTAGAAGCTAAATCTAAAAATGCAGATTTTCCAAATAAAATCTCCCATATTACTGCAGTGATGTGGGCTGAAATTTTCATACCATTAATATCTGAATACCTTCATTTTCTCAGCTCTTCCTGTAAATCATTCCTTTTGAGAGAAGAGATTTATTGTCATGTAATAAATGTGCACTACACAGAGTAAATGTGCACTACACACAATAAATGTGCACTACTTTTGCACTACAAAGGCTGGATTTATGGAGAAAACTTGATTAAAAGGAGCAGATAACTTTTGTAAACTTCAGAAAAACATGTTTTAATGTCACATGTTATGGCTGGTGTCCTGGATTCTATACTTTTGTAGTTCAGAAGTGAAGTTTTCAGGGAGATTTCTCCATTGGGCAGTGCTGAAACTGAGCCATTACACATTCCCTAACCCAATGTAGATATTCAGTGCACTGCAGCACAGACTTCTCCAGCCATGGAGTATATCTGGCAAAATAAGAAGCTCCTGAAGTGGAGCTCCACATGAGGAAAAAGAGAACCATAAAAGAGAGTTTTTTCTAAGCATATTTTTTATATATATAATAGCAGTTATTCACAATGCTGCATGAAACTGAAAAGCCCCTGTAAATCCTGGAGAGAGAGATTAAAAGGCAAGTGAAGCTGTCAGGGGCACAAGATAAAGATTCCAAATCCATTTCAGCTCCACATGCATGGAATGGAAGCAGATATGGGCTTACATGGCATCTGTGTTCACACAACAGCATGAAAATGTAGGGGTTTATAAATTAAACTGTGACTTGAAGCCAGAAGAATCAGACACACCAATGTAATAAAATCCATCCAACTGAACCCAAATAAGCATACAAAGATGCTTATAAGTAATATAATAAATAAGCAATTATAATATAATAAAAGTAATAAGACCAGAAGAAGATGAATTAAATTAAAGTGTCATTCAGGGCCATTACAAGGTAGTTCTTTTCTACACTCACCTGTTCTTCTGAGGGAAAGCAAAATGCTGCATTTTCCAAATGTCTAATTGCAACTGTTCACAAAGCTAATTACAAATAGCAGAAGCTCCAGTTTCCTGAAAAATAGGAAAGTCATGGACAAGAATGTGATTATTATAACATGTGGTGCTCGTGTGTTCTTGGCTGCACTACCAACAAATCACACCTTGCAGAAATCCTACAGAAAATGAGACCTAGAACCAAGCACCTGTAGGAAGGGGCATCATTTTCACTACAAA